CTGGCTTTGTACCTTTTCTGGGTCACTTTTTCAATTAAAAATGAACATGTTATATTGTGCAGATCAGAAGTCGTGGCTGTCGCCATTCATTGGCTGAGAGCATCAGCTGAGCGCTTTTAGCCAATGAATGCAATTCTGTGCAGGGAAAGTTGCACAGAATTGAAATTAGCCAGTGTGGAACTACTGTTCTGGGCTGGCTGGTGACACCCGATGCTATAGGTGGAGTTACACCTTTGGCGCACAGGGTTTAAACTTTGTGCAGCGTCTGAACGTACAGACTTCAGGCACCATTACTTTTTTAAATCACTGAAGTGGTCATGGTGCTTGGAGTAACACTTTAACTTGCCTCCATTAGCTGCAGTTAATAATAAGCCTTACCATTTTGATTAATCAGGTTAATTATCAATATTTCTTATCCTGTTTCTTAAAATTGTGTTACTCGTTTCCCAGCATTGAGTACCCATTGGCTTTTATAAGTCCTAGGTTTGCTAGAGGAAGTCACAGCAAATGATTGGTAAAGCACATCACTGGTGCATACACAACCCAAACTATTTCGATTTGCTTTAAGTTTGGGGCTATTGACTCCTGGGTCTAGGCTCAAAACTTGTTTCCCATGCAAGGTTTACTGGTTACCTATTGGCTGGAACCAAGCAGCTTCCCACAATAAATATATATTTCTAGTATCCAAGTTCAATAATTCCAGTTTTATGCTTGGAAGTGTCTACAGCAATCGATTTCATACAAGATCCAGCGCACTCTGCCCTCAATCACTCATTAATCAGAGACTTCAAAGTTCACAAAATATAATATATATATATATATATATATATTTTTTTTTCTTAAACACCTAACTTAGGCAAAAATAATGGGGGTTTAGTTACAGTATATGATCATACATTGTATAAGGCTGCCACAATGTCAATGTACTCCATTCTTGGCAAGTGCTATGGTGTAAGTCGGTGAGCTTGTAGGCATACGCCAAAAAGATTGTGCTAAAATCATGATTAAACAGCAAATAGAAGAATTACTGTTATATCAGCAACACCTGCATATCTTAGATATTTTTAGAAGTCCCCTTGAGCAAAGAAACTCAAAAAATTATGTTTCCACAAACATTGAGAGTTCCCAGCTGGACATGTAAATGAACACACACAAGTATTACCAGAACAGGCGAGAAAAGAGGAAATATTACCTGCCTCGATAGCACCTACATTATGTCGGCTAGTTGTGTATGTGGGACCCAGCAGATTGTACTTAAAGGACCACTATAGTGCCAGGAAAACATACTCGTTTTCCTGGCACTATAGTGCCCTGAGGGTGCCCCCACCCTCAGGGACCTCCTCCCGCCCGGCTCTGGAAGGGGGAAAGGGGTTTAAACTTACCTTTTTCCAGCGCTGGGCGGAGAGCTCTCCTCCTTCTCTCATCCGCCTCTCCGCCCAGTCGACTGAATGCGCACGCGCGCCAAGAGCTGCACGTACATTCAGCCGGTCGCATAGGAAAGCATTATCAATGCTTTCCTATGGACGCTGGCGTACTCTCACTGTGAAAATCACAGTGAGAAGCATGCAAGCGCCTCTAGTGGCTGTCAATGAGACTGCCACTATAGGATTAGGGGGAAGGCTTAACCCATTAATAAACATAGCAGTTTCTCTGAAACTGCTATGTTTATAAAAAAATGGGTTAACCCTAGAAGGACCTGGCACCCAGACCACTTCATTAAGCTGAAGTGGTCTGGGTGCCTAGAGTGGTCCTTTAAGTATAGAAGCACAGAGGTGTTGGACCAGATGCCTCTGGCCACGAAGTGTATTAGATTAGATTTGTGAGCTAGTTGAGTAAATCTAATTGTAACGGTTTGTTTTAGGTGGTAACATTTCAAGCGGCTATTTTAACTTTGAAAAGAAATTTGAGTCTCAGATGTATCAGTAGATTAAATGTTGTTGCCATTTTAAAGGTACCTAAAAAGCAATAACACAATTAGGTATTCTGTCTTGTGATTTTGTTATGTCTTGGAACAAGATGCTCTGGTTTTTGTCGGTACAGGAAACGTAAAACACGTCCATTTCTAAACTTAACACAAAACCCACTGAAAATACACTTTGAAATTGGCAGATTCTATCTCCTTTTCGTAACAGGGAGGAAAGACGTTTCTGGCTTGGCAGAAATGGATGCGAGAAAACCGAAATGAAAGTGAACTCATAGTAAATAGTTATTATGTGGGAAAATTGGGTGGTAGGAGAGGTAACAACAAAAAAAGAGGAATTTGCTGAAGGATTATAACACAGAGTTAAGACTGTAAACAGACTGGCATAGTAATGGAAAAATAATGGGAAAAAAATCAGTAAATTGAGAGTTCATGGTGAACTTAAGATGAATTTAAAGCTGCACTGTCACCGTCTGGGGACTTTGCCAAATTTGCAGAGATCCCTGATGATGACATTCCTGCTTGGGGTCTGGTGGCTGGGGGGAGAAGGTAAAGGTGAGATTTACTTACCTGAACCTGTCCCTCGCAGGTGTGGCCATCTTAATCCTGCGGGTCCTCTTGAGCCATCATCAGTGCTGAACTCTTGCACAGTTCAGCATTGATGTCTCTGGAGGATCCTGCGATATTATCCATAGACACAACTAAGTCCCTGCAGCCGTCACTGGTGACTGCTGACGGCATTGATACCCTGAGTCTCAGAAAGTCAGGCGGAGGAGAATTACAGAGACAAAGTAGTTCCAACTTTATCTCTGTATATCTCTAGACTGGGTTGCAATTTCAGTGACATTCTAACACAATCAAAATTAATATTTATAAAAAGATTATATTTTTGTGAAATACTATACTAATTTCTTTGGGGGGATTACGTGACAGTGCTGTTTTAAGGCAAATATAACCAAACTAGATAGCTGACTGGGATAATTTGTACAGTTTGGCTACTTTGTCCTTAAATCTTAAATTCACATTGAACTGACCTTGAATTCTCACTAAAGTGAATGACCCCCTCGAACTTGCATATCAATAGCTTTTATAACTTATCTTAAAATGTCCTCGATGTGTAACTCCTAAAGTGCATTAATGCAAGGTAGCGTTAAAAAGCTTTATATTCTCTAGATAGCTATAAAATATATTTCTTTTTTACACATCTTGGAGAAAGAAGAGAGACCAGGATAGAGTATAAAATCCAGAGAAGACAATTTTAATATAAAATAAAAATAATCTGATTTCTCCCATGAAACAACAGTTTAGATAATATACAGAAGTGTCCACACAAATTCATAAAATAACACAGCACGTTTCATGAATACAGACCAGTTTTCCATGAAAATTGTAAACCTGGAACAATCAACTGCAACATTTAATTGGTTTTTATGTCAAATTCAGAAATTGGTCCAAAATCAACTTCTACCATCTACATCGCTGGAAATCTCCTCAGTGAAATTTGTGGGTTATATTTATAAACAGCGGTTCTTAGGCAAAGTGCTACAACTTGAGCAATCGTCATGGAAACCAGTGGAATGTATCTGCTCTTTTAGAATTACTCTTGATGGTGTACTCAGATAATCTAGCTGCCGCTGCACTTAGAGACATGAAGGCGCTAGGGCCTTATTTATTATTATTGGATAAGCTTTTCAAATGATTTTATATTTTTTATATATTTTTTTTAATTAAAAAATTATGTAATATTACGAAAATGTTTTAATTTTGTAATATATATATATTTTTTATATATTGATTTTTTAAATATATTTATATATATTTATTATATTTGTTGATGTTTTAATATTTAAACATGTAAAAAAAAAAGGTTTATCAAAAAAAAAAAAAAATTAAATGAAATTAAATCATTTGAAAAACGTGTCCAAGAATGCTAAATCGTCACCTAAGTCCCTTTGGAATTTTTTCGCTTTTTTCTTCATCTTTAGTGTCACCACTTGCGCTCAATACATAAAGAAAAACGTTGTGTCTATTCCACCAGACAACATTTTTAAAGCTCAGTGTTTATCTGTAGATTCTGTCTTAGCAACAGATTAAACAAAGTTCAAATATTTCATGCCTATTACTGTGATTATCCTCGACCAAGACATCTTTACCTTTGTGCAGGGGGAAAACTCACAATAAGAGGAGCTCACATCTTGCTAAAACACGATCCATATTTATTTAATAATACAATGTTAATATTCTTTATTGGTAGGACAAAATCTGTATCCACAAAAAATATTTTTTAAATAGTGCTGAATGGTCCAGATTTTATTTCTATTTACCGTATTTTTCGCTCCATAAGACGCACCTCACCATAAGACGCACCTAGTTTTTAGAGGAGGAAACCCAGAAAAAAAAATATTCTGAACAAACTGTTCCATAGTGTTTCTTACCATGGGACAGTTTGTTCAGAATATTTTTTTTTCTCCCCTGTCCCATAATGATCTTTAACCCCCCTTTCCTCTGTCCCATAGTGATTGTTAACCCCTCCTACCCTGTCCCATAGTGATTGTTAACCCCTCCTACCCTGTCCCATAGTGTTCTTTAACCCCTCCTCCCCTTGTCCATTAGTGTTCTGATCCCATAGTGTCCCCCCCTCCCATTGTCCCATAGTGCACTTTCCCTCCCATAGTGTCCCCCCCTGCCCTTGTCCCATAGTGTCTCCCCCTCCCCTTGTCCCATAGTGTCCCCCCTCCCCTTGTCCCATAGTGTCCCCCTCCCCTTGTCCCATAGTGTCTCCCCCCTCCCCTTGTCCCATAGTGTCTCCTCCCCTCCCCTTGTCCCATAGTGTCTCCCCTCCCTTTCTCCCATAGTGTCCCCCTCCCCTTGTCCCATAGTGTCTCCTCCCCTCCCCTTGTCCCATAGTGTCTCCCCCTCCCCTTGTCCCATAATTACTTACCTGTCTTGGAGCGTGGGCCGGCTTCACAGCGCGCTCCGCGGTCCAGGAACTAATATTTCAGGTTCCGGTTTCCGGCGGGACTGAAAGGAAGTGTGCACACTCAGTGTGCACACTTCCTTTCAGTCCCGCCGGAAACCGGAACCTGAAATAGAAGTTCCTGGACCGCGGAGCGCGCTGTGAAGCCGGCCCACGCTCCAAGACAGGTAAGTAATTCTTCACATTCGCTCCATAAGACGCACAGACATTTCCCCTCACTTTTGAGGGGAAAAAAAGTGCGTCTTATGGAGCGAAAAATACGGTAATCCCATAATAATAGGGCCCTTCATTTATCATATAACCTAAGTAGCCCTTGGCGATCACATATGGCCACTGTCATTGTCTAATATGAACTTGATGGAATAATGTATATAAATAAACAAACTCTGCCATTTAAATGGCAACTGTCTAATGAGATCAACTTGGCTGCTGTTTAAAGTATATTTATGCTTTATTCCAACCCTATTGCTGTTGAATATTCACATGCCACACGTTGAAGAATAACAAAAAGAAAATCAAGTTTTTCTTTTTCCAAGATCACATGTAATGTAAGCACAAGCATGACAGCAAATTGAAGACCAACACATTTCATTGACAGAAGACAATGTCACAATAATTACACACTCACAATCAATAAATAACACAAAGATGTTAGAACTTGGAGCCGTGTATCTGGGTGTCAGAGACCTGCTGATTATCCAGTTTAATGCTGTCTTTAGGCATTGATTTATGGAGATTTGGGTGAGGACGGCAAATGTACAACTTCATCAAGCAGCATTTACAGGAGTGTTGCACAGCGGTGGAGGAAAAATAGAAGATTATGGGGTCCAGGCTAGCATTGAAAGTACTGAGCAGCAAAGCTTCTTCTCTCCAGGCCAAGTTCTCTTTTTGTAGAAATCCCACCAGGTGAGAGGTATTGTATGGGGCAAAACATATTGCATACACAGCTAGGGTTGTTAGAACCAGCCCGATTGCTCTTTGCTTTTTCCCTCTGTGAATATGAGATGAAGACACAATGATTCTGATGAAGCTACCGTAGCAGAAGCAGGTAATGAGGAACGGTAGACAGAAAAGAACAATTCCTAGTTCGAGACGGAAGGGTAGGAGAAATTCCAGCTGCTTATTGGTGAAGTTATTGTAGCACACGGACCTTCTACTGCTGTTCGCCGGTTCGTGATACTCTGTGATGTAGACAATGCTACAGTGGCCAAAAGAACACAACCACAGAAAGCAGCTGATAGCTACCGCATAGCTTGGCTTGCGATAGAGTTTGTACCTGAGAGGGAAGGCTACTCCAAGGTACCTCTCTACACTCACAGCTGTGAGGAACAGGGTGCTGGAGTAGATGGTACTGAAGTAGAAGAGTCCACTTAGTGGGCAAAGGAAGGTGGGCATTTTCCATTGCCCCTGCAAGAGCTCTGTGGCCTTGAATGGGAGAAATGCCAGAAATGACAAATCGGAGATAGTCAGGTTAAGAAGAAATATGGCATTTGGGGTTGCTTTGACTCGAAGTTTTTGGATCAGGGCATGGAGGGCCAATAGGTTTGATGGGACACCAGTCAGCAAGGTAATGATGTAAACCGCCAAATGCATATTTCTCTGGTTAGTTGTCGAAGCCATGCTGATGACATCATATTCTGTAGAAAAAAAAACACTTGTTCATTATCGTGACATCACAAAAAAAATCCAAAGTAAAAATAATTGGCAAATGGATCTCATAACCTAAAAAAGCCTTATCTTCATCTTTATAGTAAATAGGGCCTCTACTATCATCACTGATTTGTGACTTTCAGTGTTGTAATCTTCTAATCTTTTAGCAAATTTGGTAGAATATCACTACACACAGGTCCATTTGCATTTCTGTCAAATATAATTGATTTTAATTATTTTTTGGGGTAGGATATCTTTTTAACCCTTTTATGACCTACATGCCAGAACTGTCATTATATAATGGGATTTATGTAACCCATTGTCATGCAGGGGCTAAAGTAACAGTCAGCCCAGATTATTTTATATAATGAAAGAATGTCTCTCTGTAGGAGGTATATGGCAAATAATTACAAATATAATTTGTAATCCACAGAAAAATTCACAGTCAGTATGACTAAGTCTTCGTGTTTCAAGGGACCTCCTGCTCTGTCCTAAGTCTTGTCATGTGAGATAAAATTATCACAATGAACTTAATCTGTAGACTATAAAATGTCAACCCTTATGTAACAGGGTTGATGTTCCAGGAGAGATAAGCCAAATGGCAAATGATTTAGGTAAAGTAGAAAAATGGTCAGAGTTGTGGCAACTGACATTTAATGTGGATAAGTGCAAGATAATGCATCTTGGACGTAAAAACCCAAGGGCAGAGTACAGAATATTTGATAGGGTCCTAACCTCAACATTGAGGAAAGGGATTTAGGGGTGATTATTTCTGATGACTTAAAGGTAGGCAGACAATGTAATAGAGCAGCAGGAAATGCTAGCAGAATGCTTGGTTGTATAGGGAGAGGTATTAGCAGTAGAAAGAGGGAAGTGCTCATGCCACTGTACAGAACACTGGTGAGACCTCACTTGGAGTATTGTACACAGTACTGGAGACTGTATCTTCAGAAGCATATTGATACCTTAGAGAGAGTTCAGAGAAGGGCTACTAAACTGGTTCATGGATTGCGGGATAAAACTTACCAGGAAAGGTTAAAGGATCTTAACATGTATAGCTTGGAGGAAAGACGAGACAGGGGGGATATGATAGAAACATTTAAATACATAAAGGGAATCAACACAGTAAAGGAGGAGACTATATTTAAAAGAAGAAAAACTACCACAACAAGAGGACATAGTCTTAAATTAGAGAGGCAAAGGTTTAAAAATAATATCAGGAAGTATTACTTTACTGAGAGGGTAGTGGATGCATGGAATAGCCTTCCAGCTGAAGTGGTAGAGGTTAACACAGTAAAGGAGTTTAAGCATGCGTGGGATAGGCATAAGGCTATCCTAACTATAAGATAAGGCCAGGGACTAATGAAAGTATTTAGAAAATTGGGCAGACTAGATGGGCCGAATGGTTCCTATCTGCCGTCACATTCTATGTTTCTATGTTTCTATGTCAACATGCTGCATTTATACTTTTATACATTTTTGGCAAGTGTTAAAAAACAAGCTACAAATTGATCAACCAATCAGGAAGACAATACCAGACACATGTTGGGAAATATTGTATTACAGTGGATTGAAAGCTCTGATTTGTATCCCCTTACTAAAGCAATCATCACTCAGACTATGGCCAACAGGCATGTTCCTGTTGCTGAAATCAATCATTAATTGAAAGCATTGCATAACACCATTCTGTCACTAGCATTAGACATTGCTGGATAACAAGACAAATTAATCTAAAATAGGCCTTTAGACTATCGAAGCAAGAGAATCTGGAAACATTACAAAAACCTATTTGAGGTCTGAGGATCAATTATCCAAACATTTCACAAAAGAGTTTTAGGTATATATATAGCCAAGGAAATAAAATGTTTTTATGAATGTAAGGAAAAAAGGAGTGAAAGAGAAAACTAAGAAAGGACAAAAACTTGATTAACTTGCTGTACAATTAGTTCCCTCTCTGGACTAAAAATTCTAGCTCAATAGAGAGGACCTATACCATATGCATAACACGATAATCCCACTCACAACGGCAGTCCAGAATCAAAATACCAGGCAGGCCCCCACGGAACAAGAGATACAGTTATCACAGACTACCATATCAGCCGTCAGTGAGGTTTATTAACTGATCTCACAATGAACAAGGAGTTCACATTCAGATAACTCAGCGGACATAGACAGAATCTAGAATAATCTTATGAAAGCTGAAATACTCACTCATAAAAAGAGACGTAGGAATAATATACTTTTAGGAGTGCTCATTAGTAAATTTATGCATGGTGGCAATTTTTGTTTCTTTTCAATACAATTATGATTTTTAAAATAAATTTGGGTCCTGAAGAATTTTGTTCAAAATATTTTTGGGTTGGATTCAAAATTCTAATTCAAATATGCTGTTAAATGGCAGAGGCTACTAGACATGTGCACAGTGAAAACTGAAACCTGTTGGTTCTTCCGTATTGATATGGTTCTGATTTTTTGAACTTTTTCTGTCGTTAAGAATTTTGTCAAAGCTTGATTTGAATTTCTGTGTTTCAAGATTGCACAAAATCGTTCGAATTTCGATTCTGACCAATGTGAATCTCAAAGTCTTCTCATTACACAATACAGTTTAGTAGATTACTGGTACTTCTCCAAAGAAAGATTTAGGTTTTGCAATCCAAACATCCAAATATGTGGAAAAACATTTTGCAATAATAGTACTTGCGTAATTAATTTCTACAAATTCTGCAAATTAATTTCTACAAATTCTTTTAAAACTTGTGAATTGTGCCAACACTCAACTTCCTCCTTTGAAAAAAGTCCATGCATTCCTGTGGCTCTGTATATAGGATTAATTACATGCTCAAATCCAGAGCATTGTAATTTGATTCAATGCAAAAACACAGCAAAAACCTCAAAAATTAAACAAATATCTGTTCCTACTGCCAAAACAAACATGAGAAACATTGTGAGAGAACTTGTTATATTAGTTGCTTAGATTGCACCTATTTTTTTTAATTTAGTAAACCCTTGACAACGCTATAAATATTTAATTTGGAAAGCTATTTATATTGATTCTGTTAAATGAATTATGTTTAAAGGGTCAATAAATGCATTGCTTAACCCCTTAAGGACACATGACGGAAATATTCCATCACGATTCCCTTTTATTCCAAAAGTTGTGTCCTTAAGGGGTTAATATCTTTTCCACTTTGTTTTGTGTACATAAAATCAAAGTATTTGAAGACTTCAAGGCTACCAGGGTCTATTTTGTGTCATTGTTAAATCTCTCCAATTTTTCTTTTTTTTTAAATGTCGTACCGTAAAGACTTTTGGATTACGAATCCTATAGGAGGATCTAACTGGCATGACTAATGGATAATATAACTTTATTGTATGTTTATAATGGTACAACAACCATTAGTCCAAAGTAAAATAGCTGTTTGCTGAATGGTACAAGCAGAGTTTGCTAGTTTTGAGTGTTGGGTTACTATTTGGCAAGGATAGCTATTTTTCCTGATCTCTACGTCTTCCTTCCCCACTTTAAATTGGATGTTGCCATTTGGGATTTTTCACACGCAGGCCTGACATACACTCAAGTGGTAGAGGAAGCACGCAAATCTGACGTTGTGTGATGAAGAACATGATAATCATAGATTTAAATGTAGTTGCACAACTTAAATAAAAGTTAGAAACACAGGATATTGAGTGGAAAATACTTTAAAAAAACCATACACATCACCTCAGGCTTACTCTGTAAAAGACCGTATAGTAAACACCTACGCCTTCCCCTCAGGCTTACTTTGTAAAAGACCGTATAGTAAACACCGACGCCTTCACCTCAGGCTTACTCGTTAAATACAAGTTAGTTGGGTTGTGTTACTTTTTAAAAGATGAAACAATTATTTTTTTTTATTTTTCACTTAACATCAGGTTGTCATGGCACAGTCTGGCATATGATGCAAATTATCTTAGATATGTATCCATGATGACATACCCTTAAGTACCATGAACGTGTATATGCATGGCATCATGGAAGGAATGTCTGAGTATACATGCACATATCCATATAAATGCAATCTGGATGGAGATAAAGATGGGATGCTGGTGGTGCTACAGGTAAGTGGTTTTTACACCTCCACTGGAACTCTTGTAATTGTTTCAATAGCATTTATTGGGGGGTGAAAATGACTGTTACTTTCAGTAAAGTGACAGCTCCCTTTTAATTATTAGAACACATTGTATAGACAATATTAACATTATTTATAAGAAGCATTTGAGTGGACATCGGAGAGGGAAGAAATTACGTGGACGGACCATAGAAAGCATCGAGCGGTGCTCCACCTGGCACTGAATTCCAGGAAAGTTAATTCTATTTTCAGGTTTTTCGGGTAGAAAGAGGGTGTGTGCCAAGCTACTAGTGCCCGATAGCACATTATAAATTAAAATAAATTAAAATAAAGTAAAGGGTTGGAGGAACACTTTGTCCTAAATGTAAAAATTAGTACTAGAATAAATATTGTTCCTAACGTTCCTTCCTAAATGGATAATTTTACTATTTAGTTATATAACTATTGTGCTTATTATTTGACATTTTCTGTTTACTTTTATTTGTAATAGTAAAGATTCTTAAACATTGTCAAGCAGAATTGTTACTTGATACATGCTAGTGCAGGGAGAGATTGGATAAAGACTCAGGTGGACATGTGGGGTTAAATACTGAAGACCTTGGAACAAGCGTAACAAGGGTGTAAAAGAGAGACACAGAGAGCAATAACTGGTAAAGAAATAATAATAAAAGCTGGTTAACGTGACAAGATGAAAAAAGAAGGTATTAAATATTTTTCCTGTTTCCTTCATGGTACTAAGATTAAATTAACTTTTGCTTTCTGCCTGGAGTGAATCTTCAATGTATTTTATTGATTTCAGATGATGGGTTCAAATGAACCAATTTAACATCAGACAATCGAGAGGAAAGATGAAGAGCGATGTTC